TCGGGAAGTAGATAACCAACTTTCCCTGAAAGTAGATATTTCCCATTTGTTATGATACAAATTTCCCGTTTCTATGATAATCAACTTCGCAAAATAGTAATATTCACTGTGTTTCCGAAAATTCATTCAAAAGTCGATATTCACTTTCCCGAAAAGTAGAAAATTCTACTTTCGAAAGTATATAACCAACTTTCCCGGAAAGTAGATATTTCCATTTTTATGATACAAATTTCTGTTTCTATGATAATGATTTCGAAAGTTGGTTATCTAACCAACTCTTCCCGGAAAGTAGATATTTCCCATTTTTATGATACAAATTTCGTTTTATGATAATATTTTCGGAAATTGGTTCATCTAACCAACTTTCCGGAAAGTAGATATTTCCCATTTTATGATACAAATTTCCTGTTTCTATGATAATCTATTTTAAGTTCTTGGATATCTAACCAACTTTCCCGGAAAGTAGATTTTTCCCATTTTTATGCGATACAAATTTCCTGTTTATATTTCGGGAAAGTTATTATCTAACCAACTTTCCCGGAAAGTAGATATTTCCCATTTTATGATACAAATTTCCCGTTTTCTATGATATTCATTTTCGGCAAATTTGGTTATCTAACCAACTTTCCTGGAAAGATATTTCCCATTTATATGATACAAATTTCACGTTTTCTATGATAATCTACTTCGCAAATTTAGTAATATTTCCCCAATACTGAAAATCTACTCCCTAAAAGTCGATAATCCACTTTCCCGAAAAGTAAAATTTATCCACTTTTTCGAAAGTAGATAACCAACTTCCGGAAAGTAGAATATTTCCCATTTTTATGATACAAATTTCCTGTTTTCTATGATATCTATTTTCGAAAGTTGGTTATCTAACCAACTTTCCCAGAAAGTAGATATTTCCCATTTTTATGATACAAATTCTCCTGTTTCTATGATAATCTATTTTCGGCAAATTTGGTTATCTAAACCAACTTTCCCTGAAATAGAAAATCTATCTACTTTCGGGAAGTAGATAACCAACTTTCCCTGAAAGTCAGATATTCCATTTTTATGATACAAATTTCCTCGTTTCCATGATAATCTATTTTCGGCAATTTGTTATCTAACCAACTTTCCCGGAAAGTAGATATTTCCATTTTTATGATACAAATTTCCCTGTTTCTATGATAATCTACTTCCCAAAAATTAGGTAATATTTCAAAATTCAAAATCCATTTCCCAGAAAGTCGATAATCTACTTTAAAAGTAGAAAATTTATCCACTTTTCGAAAGTAGATAACCAACATTCCCGGAAAGGAGATATTTCCCATTTTTATGATACAAATTTCCTGCTTATGATAATCTATTTTCGAAAGTAGATATTACCATTTTTGATACAAATTTCCTGTTTTCTATGATAATCTATTTCGCTAATTTGGTTATCTAACCAACTTTCCCGGAAAGTAGAAATTCATCTACTTGAAAGAACATAACCTACTTTCCCAGTAGATATTTCCCATTTTTTGAGATACAATTTCCTGTTTTCTATGATACCATGTTGCGAAGTTATCTAACCAACTTTCCCGGAAAGTAGATATTTCCCATTTTTATGATACAAATTTCGTTTTACGATAACTATTTTCGGCAAATTTGGTTATCTAACCAACTTTCCCGGAAAGTAGATATTTCCCATTTTTATGATACAAATTTCCGTTTTCATGATATCTATTTGGCAAATTTATATCAAACCAACTTTCCGAAAGTAGAAAATTCATCTACTTTTCGGGAAGTAGATAACCAACTTTCCCGGAAAGTAGA